GTGACATCTGATAATCATACTTTTATCTGAGCCAGTCATTGTCATTTTATCAGATTTTCGCTCAGTGCATCTTGCCAGTGCATGCATGATCATATTTATTATTTACATGACAATGGTATCACATGTCACAGTCCTTCAGACAAGAATTAAGTTTGTAAAAATAAATATGGACTTTATTTGTACTTTGAAATTCAGTCTTTCCAAAAAATCTTGCAAAATGATTTTTAATTGAGTATACTGGATTAGTGTGACTGCCAAGTTATACTGACATATGACAGCTGTATCCCAGGTGGCCAAAAATGCCTTGTACAATCCAGTTTCTGAATGAGATATGCCGCCATTCAATGGAATCCCAGACCCCTTTTTTGTTTTGAATATATGGAAAAATGATTGGAGTAAACTTTCATCCAATAACATTTCTATATGACATAAAATTAAACCCTAAATTCAATAAACTTTTGACCCAAAGATATGTCTCGGCTTTTTTTAATTTTGGTAGTATAATGCAGATACTGAATCCAAATGGCAATATTTAAACATGTAAACTATGCAAAAAATTCAAAGTCAATGAACCATGACTTAAGGTGCAGGACCAAATAACCTCCATGGAAATGAGAAAAGCCAATGCTTATAAAACTGTATACCAAATACCATTGACTTATCATAATTGGTGCCCTTTACACTAACCAAAACACAAACTTTAACTTGTAAACAATGTAAAAGTTTCAAAGTTAATGAACCTTGATGTAAGGATGGGGTAATAAAATCTCCATAGATAAGAGACTTGTAAATGCTAATACAACTCATACCGACTATCATTGACTTAACATTAGTGGCTCCTCTTAAACTGATCTAATCATAAACTTAAACATGTAAACTATGCAAAACATTCAAAGTCAAGAGACCATGACTGAGGAGGCATGGCCAAATAATCTCCATGGAAATAAGATGTTCCAATGCTAATGCATCTACATACCTAATACCATAGACCTACCACTGGTGGTCTCCCTTAAACTGACATAATCACAAACTAATACATGTTAACTAAGCAAAAGTTTCAAAGTCAATAGACCATGACTGAGGGGGCAAGGCCAATTAATCTCCATGGAAATGAGATTTGCCACTGCTAATACAACTGCATAAAAAATATCACTGACCTACCACTAGCGGTTCTCCATCAACTGACCTAATCACAAACTAATATATTGTTGTTGCTGACGCTAAGTCTCACTTTTTGACTCCGTTAAGGCAAGACAAAAAACTTTAATTAATTTAAATAATAGAAAAAAATTGTTTTTTTATTTGTAGGTGTGTAAACAGACATAAAATAACAAACAAATATATTTTGAAAAATAACCTACAACTGAAACCAAAATTCATAACCTGCAATTGCAAATAAACTAACTTTAAATAAAGCTAATACTGACAATGAACACTGCCCTATCCTGGATCTTGATATATTTATCTTTAACGGGAAGCTTAATACCAAAATTTATGATAAAAGAGATGATTTTTCATTTCCTATTGTTAACTATCCATTTTTAGATGGTGACGTTCCCTTGTCGCCATCTTATGGTGTTTATATATCTCAACTTGTTCGATTCGCTCGAGTATGTAACAACGTATTTGATTTCAACGAAAGAAATCTCTGTATTACTGAAAAATTATTACACCAGGGTTTTCAATATCACAAACCGGTCAAAACATTTATTAATTTTATCATCGGTACAAGGACATCATTCGTAAATATAAATCAACATGCAGACATCTTATACATTCAGGTATTTCACATCCAATATTTTATGGTAATATTCTTTACAAAGCACAAAAATGTCGGCATTCACCTCAAAAGCTAACCAAACCTTTAAACAGACTTATTCGGAAAGGATATAGTTACAATACTGTTGTCAAGTCATTAAGGATTGCATATTTTGGTATTAATATTGATTCACTCATAGGGTCTTTGCATCGGAAATAAACACATTTATTCTAAAACCAGTTGTTGGCATGATACGGGTTATGTTCTTCTCATATATTTTATGATGGTATGATACTTAACTCCTAATGGGAGGGACTGTACTTGATTTTCATATGATGAAGTTTTAATCTTTCAATCAGTTTAATTGAGGTCTGGAGCTGGCATGTCAGTAACTGCTAGTAGTCCTTTGTTAATTTATGTATCATTGTCATTTTGCTTAGTTTCTTTTGTTACCTATTCTGACATCTGACTCGGACTTCTTTCAAACTGAGTTTTACTGTGCGTATTGCTATGTGTTTCTTTATTCTACATTGGCTAGAGGTATAGGGGGAGGGTTGAGATCTCACAAAACCTGTTTAACCCCGCCGCATTTTTGCGCCTGTCCCAAGTCAGGAGCCTCTGGCCTTTGTTAGTCTTGTATGTTTTTAAATTTTAGTTCATTTATATGTTTTGGTGTTTAGGGTGACGTCCATTATCACTGAACTAGTACACAATTTTATTTAGGGGCCAGCTGAGGACCACCTCCGGTGCAGGATTTTCTCGTTGCGTTGAAGACCCATTGGTGGCCTTCGGCTGTTGTGTGCTCTTTGGTCGGGTTGTTGTCTCTTTGACATATTCCCCATTTCCATTCTCAATTTTAATTCAACACGTTTATGAAATCTGTGTATAGATTTGGTTGATATCCTGAAAAAACCTTAACAATAGTTTTAACTCTTTGACCTTTTATCTGATTTTAAAATTTAACTCTTTTGCTTATCTGTTAGTAAGGGCTCTTGTCAAGATATAACCTTTTTGTCCTGATGTGCATTAAGAATAAACAATCAATCAATCAATTTGAATTATGTGGAAGTTTTTAGAATTTGATGCTGAGACTGAGATCAAAACCAATACAAAACAATAATCTTGGCAACACATCATATTCAAAGGACAATTGTACAACAAACTGAAATAAGTTAATTCAACTTAAATGAATGGTGTTAAAATAAACTTAAATAATTCTTATCTACCTGCTTTTATGTTTAGATCCCAGTCAAGTAAGTATATATACATATAAGAAAATGTAAATAGAATAATAAATCTTAAAAGATTAAACCTGGTGCACTTTAATTAGTCACTAAAAAAAATGGAAACATGTATGGCACCTGAATAAGTAATTATCTCAAAACTGGTAATAAATGATGTACGTAGTACAAACGTAAGTCACCAGAGTTAATTAAACACCATTCCATAACCATTTAAACTAGGATATATATAGCTTTTTAATGTTTGGTTTGGTATGGAAAATTTAAAAGTAAAAATGCATGCGATCAACATGATATGGAAAAGCTTTCAAATTTAAATGAAATAAAAAAGTTTTAAATCAAACTGGCCAAAAATCTATAAAATTACCATATATTTGAAATTTTTTAAACTAGAGGCTCTAAAGAGCCTGTGTCGCTCACCTGCATCTTCAACAATGGCTACTTTATTGTAAAAGTCTTCATGAAAGATATTAAAGGAGTCATCTGATGATTTCAGCCATGTTAACTTATTTGTAGCTCTAGTATTGCTAATCATTTTTCCAAATAAAATTTCTCTGTAACTACTATAATTTTCAAAATAATAGACAAAAAGGAAAAAAAAATGATAAAATTTTACATTTAAGGGCATCAACTCCTGTAAGAAGTTGTCCAAAAGATTTGACGTAAATAGACAGCAGGTAGATCTCAACATTCTTAACATTTCTGACCCTGTTAGATTTTTTCTTTTCATAGCATTTTTCAAGATAATAGACAAAACTTGCAGTTTACCCATATCTTCTATTTTTAGCAATCTTGGTTGGCAAACCGGGTCATCAGACACATTTTCTAAAACAGTACATGTATATCCCACTAATGATTGTGGCCGAGTTTGGTAAAATTTGGCCCATTAGTTTCAGAGGAGAAGATTTTTGTAAAATATTAGGCAAGAACGCAGAAAATTGTTACAAATCATCATTAAAGGGCAATAAATCCAAATGAATAAGGAGTTATCTAACGATTTCTGCTATGATAACTTATTTGAAGATCTTGTCTTGCTGATCATTTTTCCTGATAAATTTTCTCTCTATCTATTATAGTTTTCAAAATAAAAAGCTAAAATGAAAAAATTGGTAAAATTTTACATTTAAGGGCAATAACTCCTATAAAATGTCGTATGACAATTTTGACTTAATTGGACATTCTGAACATTTCTGTCCCTGTCAGATATTCTCTATTCAGCGGTTTTCAAGACAATAGACAAAACTTGCAGTTTACCTCCCAATCTTCTATTTTTAGCCATGTCGGCCATCTTGGTTTGCAGGTGGGGTCATCAGACACATTTTTTCAACTAGATACCCCAATAATGATTGTGGCCAAATTTGATTAAATTTGGCCCAGTAGTTTCAGAGGAGAAGATTCAATTTATAACTTCAATTGTCTGATGTGGTCTGTTGTACTGTCCAGTATTTTTGGTTATGAATGTGTCCACATTTTATGTATTTTCAAATTGCCTCCTTGCATATTCAAAGTTTTTTTTTTACTGAAGCTGAGATTACTTTTACACATGAGTTATAGTAATCTCAAACTGATGCAATGAATAAAGGTTTTACGTGTAGTTACCCTGTTTTATTTGAATCTATTGAAGTGAATACTGTCCTGTATAACATATATTGTGCACAAATGTTTACCTCAACTGTTTGAGTTGTTAATGAAGAAGGCATTCATAAAAATAATAAACAGCCTTGCCAAAAGTGCATGATAAGCCAGTCTTGTGCATATTGATATTATTGCATAAATAAAATAGAACATTTAAGAGGCATCAAAATAGAAGAATGTAAAATGGCTCTGAGAAAATCTTGTAACACAACACAAAACACAAAATAACATCTAGAGGTCAAACAAATTATGATAAATAAATCATAGAGTTTTATTTTGCCTCTTAAATCTTGTTCCATTCTTCATAAAGTATTATTGTGTATGATAAACCATAGATGGGTTTATACATCTATGGATAAACTTACCTTTTCATGAAGTTGATAGAATTCATTGTATCTTCTGAAGATGAACCAAGACTTATTGTCAGCATTGACCACTACTTTATACACCTGCAGAGGAAGAACATATTTAATGATTCCCATTAAATTTGACTGGATGATATTCTTCTTGACTGATGATTTACATTTGCCACTGAGCTCTAATGTCACTGATATGTTAGGTTCTTCCATGTTTATAGTATCAAATACTAATACTGTAACTTAGTCATTACTAATAAGCAAAGTACTGTCTGTACAATGATAAGGTGTATTTCGATTTCATTCAAGTCCAATATTAAGGTTAGTATAGATCAGTTCTAAATCACTGAAGTCATTTATCCGCTCACCAGTTCATATCTTGTGGAACCTAAGCAAATAATTTGTTTATCACATTAGATCACACACTTCCTAATGGCAAGTCACATTTGTTCACACTAGAGATAAAAATTGTCCTCTGCTTTCAAAAAAAATGTAGAATTTGAAAAGTATTCCTTCACAAATTCAGATCTAATGTTTGCACATGAACATAGAGATTTTTTATGTTTGTATTTCTAATAAGCTATAGTCCCTTTTTCTTCATAACAAACTTAGTACATCAGCTTATTAGACAGTGGCCTATATATACCAGCTGGTACTTTGTTACAATACACTGATAATTAACAACTATATGTCAAGCTATTAAATCTCTCTCTCTTCCCTTCACTGTCAACTTTTCAAATGGATCGTCACATTCTTTTAAACTGACCACACAGGGGTGTTTATCAGTCAACTCTACAGGTAAATTGTCAAAGTTTAGTTACCTAATTAAGGAATAATAACCTTGACAGACAGTGCTTCAACCAGTGTTCAAATTTTTAATTAAATCTTGACATATTGTTGAGTGAATTTCTGACAGATATGAATTTTTTCCCCAAATATAATGTGATTAGTCATATTTACAGACTTTGTTTATTAAATTGAATGATACAATTATTTTGTTACTTAATAAAATTCAAAAAAAAATTAACTATTGTTCTGAAACATCTTTAATAATCAGCTGTGCATAAATCAAGACAGTACGAATTAATTTTATTAAGAAATAATTTTTCCATCTAATTTCAACAAGCGTGGCCATCATGTTTGTCAAAAACTTTTGGTGTAAAAATATTGAAAAATATAATTCATACCAGGTTAAAATGAGCCTAGATCATGACATCAAAGCATTATTTAGTTTATATAAGTTGCTAACCTTTTGGTTCAACCAATATGGAAATCAGATGTTTTTTATCTAAACAAACAAATGCTTCATTTTTAAAAAGTATACAAATAAAAACATGTGATAAATATAGACTTAATTTTTAAAAATGTTTTATTGAATTTTATTTCGAGCAACTCCCACAGAAATATCTATTTTAATCTCCATGTCATTCAAATACAACTGACGTTGCAAATTCCATTGTGAAGTAAAAAATTGTTTCACATTTTGTAATGCAGAGGGTTTTATACACGTGCCTTTATATTGCTTACTTTATCATATGGTATGGGTTTTGATCATTGATAAAGGCTGTACAGTGATCATATTTGTCAATATCTTTGTTCTTTGGTCACTGGTGGAAAGATGGAAATGGAATTGGTGGAAATCATATATACCACTTCACTTTATTTCTATATATAAATTTCAATAAGTTAAAAATAAAAAGCAACTGTTCAACTTCTAAATAAAGCTTTACTCAAGTTATGTATTCACCAACACAGAACAATGTTACTTTATTCTATAAACATAAAATAGTCTTTCATTTTCAAAAAATCAGGGCTCTTAATAGCAAAGAACCCTCATTTGTTTATCTTGCAAGCATCCAATTCCACCAAGAATGTAACAGTATGGAAAGGAAGTGATATGGGGTACTAAATCAGGAAAAAAATCCCTACAGGTACTTAACAAAACTAAAAGCAAAACAACAGTAATTTTGTTTTTGTTCTTCACATCAAAGTCACAGTGAGGCTTTCAACAAGGAGAAAAATAATAGGAACACTACAAACATTTAGACATCAACAGGGCATATCAATTCTTCTACAAACATTTAGACATCAACAGGGCATATAAATTCTTCTACAAACATTTAGACATCAACAGGGCATATCAATTCTTCTACAAACATTTAGACATCAACAGGGCATATCAATTCTTCTACAAACATTTAGACATCAACAGGGCATATCAATTCTTCTACAAACATTTAGACATCAACAGGGCATATCAATTCTTCTACAAACATTTAGACATCAACAGGGCATATCAATTCTTCTACAAACATTTAGACATCAACAGGGCTTATCAATTCTTCAAAAAATAATATCTGAATAAGACTATAATTGGGATTGACAGCATAACAATCAGACTGACAGAGAAAAACAGTAGTAGTACTTCTATAAGAGAAGATCAGAGAAGTTATTTCACTATTAAATAGGCAATCACCGTAAAAATGTTAAAAAAAACAACGATAGACCTAATAGAAATGGAAACTTTTTACAAAAGCAATTTTAGTTACAACTGTAACTAATAAAATAAATATCTCAAACTGGATATCTTTTTATATGGTGGTGATCTTTTGCTTTGGTTAAGATTTATCAATTTTAAAATAAAACTGTTTTAAGTACTGCATGGTATTTGTATCAGAAATAGGAATAATTTTAATGCACCATTTTTTTACAATATCATATGTGTTAAATTAAAATTGTTCCACTCAAACACATTACCTATACACTAAACAGCCTCCTACACCATGTGTATACAATATGTAATTTCTAGTTTGGCTTTGCCATCATGTGAAGGCTACATGGACACTACTGACCTACATGTCAATAAACTGTTTGTTACATGCTATTTTGATAAAAGTATATCTACCTGTCAAGAAATAATTCTTCATTTGAATAAAAGATAGATTGAATTTGTCATTCTTGAAGTTTGCCTTTGAGATCTTTATGATCTCTTACAGTTGTTGTCCATTTGTTTGATGTGTTTGAGCTTTTGATTTTGCCATTTGATTAGGGACTTTCCTTTTTGAATTTTCCTCAGAGTTCAGTATTTTTGTGATTTTACTTTTTGGTTAACACTAAAAATATTTATGAACCCACCGATGATGGCCTAGTTACATCATCTCACATCATGCACATTACATTAAGGTCTAATAGCCTGATAAGGTATATCTAATTTCCTCCAGGATATTATGGTATTGCAAATTGATAGATTTCAATAATTTTAAGAAAGGGGTCTTAATCAGCAATTTAACCTTATGTGATTTGAAAGATTGATTGATAAATGCAGGATATCCAATTACATTTAATGACATCTTAGTGTAAATTGTTTAAGGGTTATACATGTATTTGAACACTGTGAGTGTGGTCAAATGATAGCTCTTACTAATATTACAAATACTTCTTCTATTTGTTGACTTAACAACTTAAAGGATCTTCAACATAAAAGATCTGAAAGTTATTGTATATATATGTAAGACTCTAAACCCCGATGGCACAAGCTGAAGTGCGTTTTTAATCAAGTGCAATGGCAGTATTGTGACGCTATCTTGTTGATAGCTATGCCGAAGTGCAATGGATTACACATAAATTTATTTTTTTCATGTTCACATGTTGATGTAGAGTGAATTTGTTTGTTAGAAGCACCTTTTAAGGTTTTAAAGTCAATCATCCAAAGTATGCAGCAAAATAAAATATAACGATTTCTCTTTTAGTATAAAACTGTATCTAAGGACATACATAATGTGAAATATATTCTTGTATTTCAATTGTTTCAAACACCGCTTCAAGAGGTGTGAAATAAAGGTATAGATGAAACTATAATATTAGCCTGGTACTTATAGATGATAGTCAAACAGTAAACAATTATCATATAATCCTAATTTGTATGGTAATCAAGCTTATTGCAGGATTATTCTTTTAAATAAATGTCTTTTTTTTTTAACCAGACACATACATATCATCAATACCGAAATGCCATAAAGGTTTGATGGACTAAAAATAAAAGCACATTTATATACCGGTACTTTTAATAATTAAAAAAGTCTACTTCTCATAAAAGTGGAAATATGTACAGTAGTTCATGTGTCAAATAGACCATCGCATATTAGCGAAAGGATCATCACTTTTCGGTGAAAACCATCACGCTTCAGCGTGACCATCGCACCTCCGAGTCCTATATATATATATTCTAAAAGAAAAATAATTATTCTCTTTACAAGGGGTTAAAGATAGCTTATCTAACATGTTAATGTTTGACAAAAGGCAAAGCCGAAAAACTATAATTTAGTATTTGTTTTATAGACCATCTTCTTTCTCCAATCAAACTAATATTGGCAGGTCAATGATCTTTTTTTTAAGTAATTTTTATTGAATGTTATTTAATTGTTTGTGATAACAAATTATAGATGTTATTGTCATGTCAAATGTTTATATATAAATGCTCTTTGGGCCCCTGTAATAATTGGAAATAAAAAATTTTCTTCATATTTTCCCCTTCATATTTCATTGTCATATGAAGTGTTATTTTAGTCATAAGAAAATAAACTATTTTCCAAAGCAAGGTCAATATTTACAACTTAGGTCAATGATAAATATGAGAAGTTACAAGTTGCCAAAGGCTGATTATCTATTTTCAGTGAAATAAATTTTATATTTAGAATACGTTTACAAGTCTTAATAGTTTTAAAAGATGATAAAAATCTTCCTCTACTCTGGAAAATGATTACAAATAGCAAGTAGTAATACTGGTCAACTTTTGGTTGTCCCACTCAGGGACTTCACCAGCCAGTACTTTTCACCATTAGGAGTGGGAAAGCCTCTTGACTTTATACAACTTTACAATTAACTGATGAGATATGGACTTTATTTTTATAAAAGCATTTTAAATATCAACACTCAACAGAAAATAGTCCTAGTGGTGGTCTGAAAATGCATCTTACAGTACAGTTACAGTCTGATATCCAGTTAAAATTAGATTCTCTTTATTGGAGAAAGTAAAAATGTCCCAGTTGGTAAATTTGGATTGTTAACATCTGTTTCTATGGCCTTTAAAAGTTTAATGTAGGTGCATTATTTAGTATTGTTTGCATCTTATATACATGTTGATACTCTAATTATAGTATGAAGTGAAAAGCTATTTCTAAATTTTAAATTAAAGACAAATTTCCATAAACAGGGTATTATGGTAGGTGCAAATTCTTCTGGATCTTGAAGATGCATAAGCATAAGTTCCACTGAAAAAAAAATCCACATCAAGATAAAAGATTGATCTTTCAAAAGCATTCATTTGCACCTCTGCCTCTGGTAACAGTATTTTGGAGAAAAAAATCCTAAAAATGGGCAATAATCTTATCGCAAAGAGAATTATTTTACAGTTTGTGAATTAAGAATGCTTTTCTGCATGTGCACTCTTTAAAAGAGAAAATAAAAATTTGGAAAAACTGTAAATACACCACCCAGTGAATTCTAGTCTGGGAATTTCATCAATTTCAAACTTTTCAAGAAACAAAGGTGGATGAGGGAAAGAATAAAAATGTTTTTAAATATCAAATGACTAGGACAAAAGTAAAAGTAATATACTAATAATATTTTGTGGTCTAGTAAATTTTAAATAATCATAAAAGTTGTTTAACATATTACATAGCTGTCTCAAAATTAAATGCCTTAATTTAAGCAAATACTTATCTAATATAACAAAACCTTCAGCACACATCATTTACCAAAA